ATCCGGAGGAGACCTAACCTGTGCGATCTAATTGGTCTGAGAGAGGTAATCGGCAGGAGGCGGTCTCTTTAAATTAAGTAAAGAAAAAAGATGTTAGATCAGATGAAAGGCCTAAATACTCTTGCACCTTATTTGCTGTTGGGGTTCAAGCTGTTGCTGCTGGAAAGTGTAGCTCTTTCCTTCCGTGGCTGCGGCAAAGGCTGAGAGGCCTCTCCTCTATCTCTCTGGGAGCACCTAATCCTCCACAGCTGCTTTGACAGGTGTCACCTGTGGTAGCAAATGTCAATTAAAATTTGAACTATATGGGATACTTTTACTCCTAATTTCCCCATTTTTTTGTTGGCTTCTAAAGGAGAAAGGAAGGTTCTAGGCCAATGATGGCTAACCTTTTCCAGACCGAGTGCTCAAAGCATGCGTGAATGTGCACACACGTGCCTGAATCCCCAAAATGCAATGCGCATGCGGTCCCTTGGCACATGCCCCCCCATGGGCCCTATCTCATGTGCATGCATGGCAGAGACCTGAAGACCAGCTGGCTGGTGGAGGCGAGCACCTATGCGTGGCAGAGCTGAACTGAGGCGATGACGCGCGTGCCTACAGAGAGGGCACTGTGTGCCACCTCTGGATGGTTCTACGCTTATCATGATCTGGGTTAAAATGCTCTGTGTCAGTTGTGAAATCTGCAGAAAATTAGGTAACATTCATTGTGCATGCATGCAACTTACCATATATGGTTCTCAAACTGCAATTCTAAGCAGGAAACAAGATTAGAAAGACAAATTTGGGCCTAGTAATAGCGTCCATCCTGTCAGACAGAGCCAGCCAAATGGTGCTTTCCTGTTTAAGATAAAAATGAACTGTATTAAAGAGAGGGATTGGTGGATTCTTGTGCATTTGTTTCCCTCTTGCATCACTGAGATGGGGAAACATTATGTGACTTGTGATTCTGTGTTTATATTCTTTGGGAACCCGACTCAAAGGACAGCTGGGGTTTGCTCTCCTCCAGAAGTGTGTGGAATCGCATTCAAGAGCCTGAAGAACAGCTCAGCCGTGCAGGGAGCCTCCTCTGAAGCAGCAGAGGGGGATGGGCGCTATTCAAACGGATCTCCGGGGCAGACTAGTGCTCGCAAGGCGGAAGAGGGGCATGCCTGCACCGGCGATGGAGCTGCCAGGTGTGCCTCCTGGGGCCGGACTAAGGCGATCTGAGCGGGTACCGCAGGGGCGTCGGCAGCCGAAAGGGGCGACTTTTAAGACTTCATGGACTTCAGCTCCCAGAATTCCCCCGCCAAAAGACGGTGACCGGAATCGCTTTCGGCCTCCGCCTGGGGGATCCATGAGCGGCGACCCTGCGATCTGGATCTCTCCCAGAAACCAGGAGGCCGAAGGGCGCAAAGTGGCGGCTCGGCTGGTTCGGCGGATCTCACGGCCACAGAGGGGCGGGGGCGGGGGGGAAATGCCTGGGCTGCTGCTCCGCCGCCGGTTCCTCCCGCCTCTGGGGGCGCTGTTGCGGCCCGGCCGCCCGGAAGTAGCGCCTGGGGAGGCATGCGCTGCGGCGATGGCCTCCAGCAAACGGGTGCTGTACGTAGGTGAGCGGCGGCGGCGGCGGGGGGGGGGGGGCTGTCGGG